AGCTTAATATCAATTTGAATTACTATACATCAAACAAACACGAACGATCATGAACTGGCGGGTATACTTTAAAGCGAGTAATTTAAAGAGCAGTTTCTTCTTGGCATCCGCATATACCGTTGCCAAGCCAAACTTGAAGATTGGAAGGTTCAAAGGTTATAAAGTCCTTAAGGGGAGATACACCAAAAACGTTTTTGCTCCAAACATCGATTTTATTTTATATTATGGTTAAATAGACAAAAATAATAAGATTGCACACCTTCAAAATTTTCTAAAAATATTCCCTCATCGAGAAAAAAAATATTTTTCTTTTTCGAAAATTTTTAAAATTTGGAGAAGTCTGTCACTGTAATACCGATAGTTCGGCCATTTTAAAAGTTTTTTTACTGATTTTTTACTGAACATTACTTACACTCCGTACAAGACAACCCTATAAAGGATTATATAATTGAACAATAAATGACTAAGTTACAGACCGAACAAGGTGAAAAAAGATAAATTGGGATTTTTGCCTACCACCAAAGTTGTACATTTTACCACTAGCCCAGGTCATCAGATATCGCTTCAAAAATTCTTGTGAGTGTAGTTGATAATCATATCCAGCTTTTTGGAACCGGATTTCTCTCAATTTTGAGTTTTAAGGTATGAAATGTGGCCTCAAACGACTTAGTAAAATTCATCGTAAAAAGGGCCAAACATGGCAGATTTAAGGCTTAAAATGCCTATAACTCAAAAAGTGTCAGTTTTTTTGAAATAATTTGTACAGAATCGTAATCAGCTTGGGAAGACGAATCTTTTAGTACCAAATAGGTGATTTTAGAAGACAAATTGTCTTAAATAATTTTCCAGCTCGAGCACAAGGGTCCCTCCCCCCTTGTATAAATTTTGTACAAATTGTACACATTTTTTTACAACTTTTTTGTCTTTATCTATTATAAATTTGGTACTAAAAGATTCGTCTTACCAAGCTGATTACGATCCTGTAAAAATTATTTCAAAAAAACGGATACTTTTTGAGTTATAGGCATTTTAAGCCTTAAATCTGCCATGTTTGGCCCTTTTTTACGATGAATTTTACTTAGTCGTTTGAGGCCACATTTTATACCTTAAAACTCAAAATTGAGAGAAATCCGGTTCCAAAAAGTTGGATATGATCATCAGCTACACTCACAAGAATTTTTGAAGCGATATCTTATGACCTGGGCTAGTGGTAAAATGTACAACTTTGGTGGTAGGCAAAAATCCCAATTTATCTTTTTTCACCTTGTTCGGTCTGTAACTTAGTCATTTATTGTTCAATTATATAATCCTTTATAGGGTTGTCTTGTACGGAGTGTAAGTAATGTTCAGTAAAAAATCAGTAAAAAAACTTTTAAAATGGCCGAACTATCGGTATTACAGTGACAGACTTCTCCAAATTTTAAAAATTTTCGAAAAAGAAAAATATATTTTTTCTCGATGAAGGAATATTTAAAAAAAATTTTGAAGGTGTGCAATCTTATTCTTTTTGTCTATTTAACCATAATATAAAATAAAATCGATGTTCGGAGCAAAAACGTTTTTGATGTATCTCCCCTTAAGTCATATCATGAGATTAGTCATGAGGTTAGTCAATAATTTTCGGTTTTCCCCGTAAAATTACCAAATAAATTCCAAAACCGTCAACTCGGCGCGCGTCTTGGTAGGTTATTAAATTACAAGTTTACTCTCACATAAAACGTATATTCAATGATAAACATTCGCATTTTGGTTTTAATGATGTAGCAACAGCTATTGGGACTTATGAGTCGGTCGAAGTTTACGTCACTAAGTTTACGTCACTAAGTTTACGTCACTAAGTTTACGTCACTAAGTTTACGTCACTAAGTTTACGTCACTAATTGAAAATCTTCTGCGTCTGTAAACCCGTAAACCCGTCCACATTTAAGCCTCTTAACAACGCTGAACGTATTACAAACCGTTCATAAGAGGTGGTAACATTGTGACCTGGCTATTATAGTACCCATTGTAATGACTAAACAGAGAGGAGTAATAATATCTCGGCAATTCAGTAGTGTGGCATAACACGGTTAAGGCACGGTTAAGGCACGGTTAAGGCACAGTTAAGGCACGGTTAAGGCACGGTCTCTGATGGTGTCTCCACTCATTACTACATGTTAACCTAATAATACTGAGTATGATAAAGATACTCTCCTCAGCTCCCCGTTAGGCTCCTTACTCCTTACTCCTACTATATGCTCCCCAGTACCAAGCACTGATTACTGGTATTGCAGAGTCTTGTACGTGTGGAACAACTACAAGTTGTACTAGTTCCACACACGTTGTTTAACCAGACAGCAGGGATATTTCACAACTCGTTGGGATAATATCAGCTTGATCTTTATCGGCTGTTTTGCCAGACTCGTGCCTTGCTACTTGTACGCTTACAAAGGTATCTACTACATTAACCTGACCTCTCTTTACTTATGTGTCATGTACATAATATACAGGATATATCTGATTAATTGATACCAATGCAAAGTTTGCGAGTTGACAGGTGTAATGAATATTGCTTCAGCAGCAGCAGGCTTAGGCGGAGAGTTGTAATATTATGATAACCTTCCATAGAATAATAGTAGCTGAGGATCTTAGGTTGGGTATAAAAGTGTGAGGTCCCAGTCTAGAAATAATGAGTAGACATTCAACCACGAGTCCGTATATGCAACTGAGAAGACAGGAGCTGCTTATCAATGTCAAGCCGATTACTGATGAGATTCGAAAGAAGGTGTTCTTAGACTAATCAAAAATGAGTTCAGCACTACAACTATTGCAAAATGACAGAAATGCCCGGCTGCCGATCATATTGATATCTCACCGCAAAAACAAACTACCACACTGGAGTCTAAGCAATTTCATTACCTAACTTACCAGGTATAGAGGCACTCCTAGAGCTCTAGAAGTTGCAATAAACATGGTTATGAAACACTTAAACCCGGCAAGGCTGGATTGTTGATGTACATACCACGAAAGAGCAGCGGGCTGATCGTTTGTAAACACGTGAGACGTATGTTTATAAGAATGTTTATAATAATGCTCGGACCATGAACTGGAGGGTAAGTGGATTAAAAACTCTGAGGCGTAAAACTATAGGGCTCTGGCCTCTGGGCACAGCTGCAGTAAAATATCAACCGAAAACACCATAACCTACTCCGCCTTTGATTCCGATACTCAAAAGACAGCAATATCTACTACATACAACCATTAACCAGGTTAAAAATCATTGAAGAGAAACGGGTCGCGAGAAAAGAAATAAAAAGGCATGCACAAAAAAAAAAACTAAAACCATGACACAACTGCAAACGATCACACCGAAATTAAACTCCCAATCAAACGAAGCTCACATTGAAACCAATGGTATCCATCTTTACTTCCTCAGACTCAAGTTGTCCTGTACTCAAGGGATCAGAAGCGGGAAGAAAGGGTTGCATCTCATCCTCCTCCTCCTCTCCTCCTCCTCTTCTGGCTCTATTATAAGAGGTATCAGAGGTCTGGACTCAGGGAGAGAAGGAGCCGGACTGGATGTTGCTGCACTCCTCATGCTCATTACTGATCGGGGTCGGAGTTCAGGCAGGGAGAAAGTGGGACTAGCTGTTCCAGCCTCTACTGCTACGGAGAGGAGGGAGACTGGGTTCAGTGGCTTCTTTATGTACATCTCCATGGTTGGGTGGTTATGACTCATGTACCTTGAGGAGTTCTGTTAGCAGGGTCAGTCTTTTAGAGACGGGGTCGAGGTTACTGGTTAACTGATCATGATTCATGTTTCTTTTGTACTGATAATAAAATCTGTATTTTCTATTATATAATATATTTACTATTTAAGTATTTGTATCACGAGAAAGCGAAAAAATAACCATGGCCTCGCACAAAGCAATTACAAGTTTTTGATAATAAAAATGATTTTATCTGTGGTTGATTACTGCACTTGTAAACACCTATAAACGGATAACAATTAGTTTCTGTTAAAGTGTTAGCAAGCGAAATAAACGTTGACCTTACCTTTGTTAGAGCTGGTAGTTGCGATCAGCCTCCCGTCTTAAAGTCACGTACAGATGCACTGGAAGATTCTGACCAATTGGCCAGCAAACTCTGAGCTAAATAGAGAAAATTGTATTTAAATCATACAGACATAAATTTGAAAGAGGTAAATTTAGAAGAGGGATAATTCAGCAGAAGGCAATGAAACAGTTGTTATTCTGCCTTCTCATACGTCACCAGATTGTCTACATTCGTTAATGTTAATGTTAATAATAACATAATAACAATAATGTCTGGAATTTTTCGAGCAATTTCCTCAGACTCATGTTTCAAATGTGTACGAGAGCATATCCAAACATTACACTGCAATTAACATATTTAACCAAAACTGCCAGCATACTACGAAGCGTAAGACTATGGATGGAGTACTTCAACTCCGAGACTGAGGCCGCCAGAACGCATCAAATTAGGAAACAAACCACAGCTATAATAGCGGACCTAAACATAAAGATCGGCTACCTACAAGCATCTGCAAACAATCATATATTAATGATATATGCAGCAGTCGGGGCCGGGGCTGACCATGTAGAGACTAGTCCCCTGCAAGAGAGAGAGAGAGAGAGTGGTCCTCATATGATTACTGTCATATCACTGATTACCCAGGTCCATTGTATTAGCTTAGTCTCCACTTCTCTCGCTAAACCCCTCGCTTTTGTTAGATACCAGGCCAATAAACCCGCACACAATAAAATATCATAGCAGCGTGTTACAAAATCTTATACGAGACCACGACCACAAACTAGGCGGTATCCTCCGTGAAAGCAAGATCATAGTTACATTATCACACAAAAGCACCAATAACAGTACCAGGACACAAAACGGTTGGTTACTTGAAGCAGATAAGCTGCATGTTACGGTGCATACAGGATCACAAGAGTTTGTCTCCTCCCTCTCCCCCTCGTCTGATTATACCCCGCTCCAAGTCTTTATGATACGTCAGACTTGTTTATAGCAAAGGTAGGTATTATAAAGGAGCTACACTGGGCAGGGTGAATGATAGTCCAACCAGGTGGGACGGACCCTGCAGGGGACTGGGGTGTGACAAAAGAACCGTAATTGGGACAAATGGGACTGCGTTATAATACACGATACAACAGTCAACATCGGGTCATGCATTATGGATGTGTAGCAGATTGTAATGGTGAGATAGCGAGGTTGTTAGTAGGATTCTGGTTAGCCTTATTGTGGCTAGCTAATAGCACTACAACAACATGGTACTGAATAATAAAATTAATAGAAAGATAGTTGTTCAAGTAGACTGATCTGTGCAGCTCACTGTACATGATCAACAGAGACCATGATCAACAGAGACCATGATCAACAGAGACCATGATCAACAGAGACCATGATCAACAGAGACCATGATCAACAGATATCATGTTCAACAGAGACCATGATCAATAGAGACCATGATCAACAGAGACCATGATGGATGGCATTGACTGTAGTACGATTGTCATTTCCACCTCATTGCTGATTAGAAAAAATGATCAGTGCAAGCTTGTTTGATCCTGATGTTATAGTTTCTAAGTCTTTGTGATAATACAGCGCCACAAGTGCAATATTTATATAAAACACACGAGATAACTTCACATCTGGTAAAAAGACTACCATAGATTTGAAAGGCTTGATAATGGGAGCCACATAGAAGACGAGTGTAAGCTAACAGTGTCTGCTAACGGTGGTCTGCTAACGGTGGTCTGTCTAGCTGCCTGCACATCGTAATCAGTCCAATGTAGACTGTAGCTCAAGTGTTCAGCAATTATGTTAGACAACCATCACCTTCAGTTATACAACCATCAACTTCAGTTAGACAACCATCACCTTCAGTTAGACAACCCTCACATTCAGTTAGACAACACTCACCTTCAGGTAGACAACATCACCTTCAGTTAGACAACATCACCTTCAGTTAGACAACCATCACCTTCAGTTAGACAACCATCACCTTCAGTTAGACAACCATCACCTTCAGTTAGACAACCATCACCTTCAGTTAGACAACCCTCACCTTCAGTTAGACAACCATCACCTTCAGTTAGACAACCATCACCTTCAGTTAGACAACCATCACCTTTAGTTAGACAACCATCACCTTCAGTTAGACAACCATCAACTTCAGTTAGACAACAATCGCCTTCACTTAGACAACCATCACCTTCAGTTGGACAACCATCACCTTCAGTTGGACAACCATCACCTTCAGTTAGACAACCATCACCTTCAGTTAGACAACCATCACCTTCAGTTAGACAACCCTCACCTTCAGTTAAACAACCATCACTTTCAGTTAGACAACCATCACCTTCAGTTAGACAACCATCACTTTCAGTTAGACAACCATCAACATCAGTTAGACAACCATCACCTTCAGTTAGACAACCCTCACATTCAGTTAGACAACCCTCACATTCAGTTAGACAACCATCACCTTCAGTTAGACAACCATCACCTTCAGTTAGACAACCATCACCTTCAGTTAGAAAACCCTCACATTCAGTTAGACAACCCTCACATTCAGTTAGACAACCATCACCTTCAGTTAGACAACCATCACCTTCAGTTAGACAACCATCACCTTCAGTTAGACAACCATCACCTTCAGTTAGACAACCATCACCTTCAGTTAGACAACCCTCACATTCAGTTAGACAACACTCACATTCAGTTAGACAACCCTCACATTCAGTTAGACAACCATCACCTTCAGTTAGACAACCATCACCTTCAGTTAGACAACCATCACCTTCAGTTAGAAAACCCTCGCATTCAGTTAGACAACCCTCACATTCAGTTAGACAACCATCACCTTCAGTTAGACAACCATCACCTTCAGTTAGACAACCATCACCTTCAGTTAGACAACCATCACCTTCAGTTAGACAACCCTCACCTTCAGTTAGACAACCATCACCTTCAGTTAGACAACCCTCACCTTCAGTTAGACAACCATCACTTTCAGTTAGACAACCATCACTTTCAGTTAGACAACCATCACCTTCAGTTAGACAACCATCACCTTCAGTTAGACAACCATCACCTTCAGTTGGACAACCATCACCTTCAGTTAGACAACATCACCTTCAGTTAGACAACCATCACCTTCAGTTAGACAACCATCACCTTCAGTTAGACAACCATCACCTTCAGTTAGACAACAATCGCCTTCAGTTAGACAACCATCACCTTCAGTTGGGCAACCATCACCTTCAGTTGGACAACCATCACCTTCAGTTGGACAACCATCAACTTCAGTTAGACAACCATCACCTTCAGTTAGACAACCATCACCTTCAGTTAGACAACCCTCACCTTCAGTTAGACAACCATCACCTTCAGTTAGACAACCATCACCTTCAGTTAGACAACCATCACCTTCAGTTAGACAACCATCACCTTCAGTTAGACAACCATCACCTTTAGTTAGACAACCATCACCTTCAGTTAGACAACCATCAACTTCAGTTAGACAACAATCGCCTTCAGTTAGACAACCATCACCTTCAGTTGGACAACCATCACCTTCAGTTGGACAACCATCACCTTCAGTTAGACAACCATCACCTTCAGTTAGACAACCATCACCTTCAGTTAGACAACCATCACCTTCAGTTAGACAACAATCACCTTTAGTTAGACAACCATCACCTTCAGTTAGACAACCATCGACTTCAGTTAGACAACAATCGCCTTCAGTTAGACAACCATCACCTTCAGTTGGACAACCATCACCTTCAGTTGGACAACCATCACCTTCAGTTAGACAACCATCACCTTCAGTTAGACAACCATCACCTTCAGTTAGACAACCCTCACCTTCAGTTAGACAACCATCACTTTCAGTTAGACAACCATCACCTTCAGTTAGACAACCATCACTTTCAGTTAGACAACCATCACCTTCAGTTAGACAACCCTCCCATTCAGTTAGACAACCATCACCTTTAGTTAAAAAACCATCACTTTCAGTTAGACAACCCTCACATTCAGTTAGACAACCATCACCTTCAGTTAGACAACCATCACCTTCAGTTAGACAACTATCACCTTCAGTTAGACAACCATCACCTTCAGTTAGACAACCATCAACTTCAGTTAGACAACCCTCACATTCAGTTAGACAACCATCACCTTCAGTTAGACAACCATCACCTTCAGTTAGACAACCATCACCTTCAGTTAGACAACCATCACATTCTGTTGGACAACCATCACCTTCAGTTAGACAACCATCACCTTCTGTTGGACTACCATCACCTTCAGTTAGACAACCATCACCTTCAGTTAGACAACCATCAACTTCAGTTAGACAACCATCACCTTCAGTTAGACAACCATCACCTTCAGTTAGACAACAATCACCTTCTGTTGGAATACCATCACCTTCAGTTAGACAACCATCACCTTCAGTTAGACAACCATCACCTTCAGTTAGACAACTATCACATTCAGTTAGACAACATCACCTTCAGTTAGACAACTATCACCTTCAGTTAGACAACCATCACCTCCAGTTGGACAACTATTACCTTCAGTTGGACAACCATCACATTCAGTTAGACAACCATCACCTTCAGTTAGACAACCATCACCTTCAGTTAGACAACCCTCACATTGAGTTAGACAACCATCACCTTCAGTTAGACAACCCTCATCTTCAGTTAGACAACCATCACCTTTAGTTAGACAACCATCACCTTCAGTTAGACAACCATCACCTTCAGTTAGACAACTATCACTTTCAGTTAGACAACCATAACCTCCAGTTAGACAACCCTCACATTCAGTTAGACAACCCTCACATTCAGTTAGACAACCCTCACCTTCAGTTAGACAACTATCACTTTCAGTTAGACAACCATCACATTCAGTTAGACAACCATCACTTTCAGTTAGACAACCCTCACCTTCAGTTAGACAACCATCACCTTCAGTTAGACAACCATCACCTCCAGTTAGACAACCATCACCTTCTGTTGGACAACCATCACCTTCAGTTAGACAACCATCACCTTTTGTTGGACTACCATCACCTTCAGTTAGACAACCATCACCTTCAGTTAGACAACCATCAACTTCAGTTAGACAACCATCACCTTCAGTTAGACAACCATCACCTTCAGTTAGACAACAATCACCTTCTGTTGGACTACCATCACCTTCAGTTAGACAACCATCACCTTCAGTTAGACAACCATCACCTTCAGTTAGACAACCATCACCTTCAGTTGGACACCTATCACCTTCAGTTAAACAACTATCACCTTCAGTTAGACAACCATCACCTTCAGTTAGACAACCATCAACTTCAGTTAGACAACCCTCACATTCAGTTAGACAACCATCACCTTCAGTTAGATAACCATCACCTTCAGTTAGACAACCATCACATTCTGTTGGACAACCATCACCTTCAGTTAGACAACCATCACCTTCTGTTGGACTACCATCACCTTCAGTTAGACAACCATCACCTTCAGTTAGACAACCATCAACTTCAGTTAGACAACCATCACCTTCAGTTAGACAACCATCACCTTCAGTTGGACACCTATCACCTTCAGTTAGACAACTATCACCTTCAGTTAGACAACCATCACTTTCAGTTAGACAACCATCAACTTCAGTTAGACAACCCTCACATTCAGTTAGACAACCATCACCTTCAGTTAGACAACCATCACCTTCAGTTAGACAACCATCACATTCTGTTGGACAACCATCACCTTCAGTTAGACAACCATCACCTTCTGTTGGACTACCATCACCTTCAGTTAGACAACCATCACCTTCAGTTAGACAACCATCAACTTCAGTTAGACAACCGTCACCTTCAGTTAGACAACCATCACCTTCAGTTAGACAACAATCACCTTCTGTTGGACTACCATCACCTTCAGTTAGACAACCATCACCTTCAGTTAGACAACCATCACCTTCAGTTAGACAACTATCACATTCAGTTAGACAACATCACCTTCAGTTAGACAACCATCACCTTCAGTTGGACACCTATCACCTTCAGTTAGACAACCATCACCTTCAGTTAGACAACTATCACCTTCAGTTAGACAACCATCACCTCCAGTTGGACAACTATTACCTTCAGTTAGACAACCATCACATTCAGTTAGACAACCATCACCTTCAGTTAGACAACCATCACCTTCAGTTAAACAACCCTCACATTCAGTTAGACAACCATCATCTTCATTTAGACAACCCTCACCTTCAGTTAAACAACCATCACCTTTAGTTAGACAACCATCACCTTCAGTTAGACAACCATCACCTTCAGTTAGACAACTATCACTTTCAGTTAGACAACCAGCACCTCCAGTTAGACAACCCTCACATTCAGTTAGACAACCCTCACATTCAGTTAGACAACCCTCACCTTCAGTTAGACAACTATCACTTTCAGTTAGACAACCATCACCTTCTGTTGGACTACCATCACCTTCAGTTAGACAACCATCACCTTCAGTTAGACAACCATCAACTTCAGTTAGACAACCATCACCTTCAGTTAGACAACCATCACCTTCAGTTAGACAACAATCACCTTCTGTTGGAATACCATCACCTTCAGTTAGACAACCATCACCTTCAGTTAGACAACCATCACCTTCAGTTAGACAACTATCACATTCAGTTAGACAACATCACCTTCAGTTAGACAACCATCACCTTCAAGTTGGACACCTATCACCTTCAGTTAGAGAACCATCACCTTCAGTTAGACAACTATCACCTTCAGTTAGACAACCATCACCTCCAGTTGGACAACTATTACCTTCAGTTAGACAACCATCACATTCAGTTAGACAACCATCACCTTCAGTTAGACAACCATCACCTTCAGTTAGACAACCCTCACATTCAGTTAGACAACCATCACCTTCAGTTAGACAACCCTCACCTTCACTTAGACAACCATCACCTTTAGTTAGACAACCATCACCTTCAGTTAGACAACCATCACCTTCAGTTAGACAACTATCACTTTCAGTTAGACAACCATCACCTCCAGTTAGACAACCTCACATTCAGTTTAGACAACCCTCACATTCAGTTAGACAACCCCTCACCTTCAGTTATCAACTATCACTTTCAGTTAGACAACCATCACATTCAGTTAGACAACCATCACTTTCAGTTAGACAACCCTCACCTTCAGTTAGACAACCATCACCTTCAGTTAGACAACCATCACCTCCAGTTAGACAACCATCACCTTCTGTTGGACAACCATCACCTTCAGTTAGACAACCATCACCTTCTGTTGACTACCATCACCTTCAGTTAGACAACCATCACCTTCAGTTAGACAACCATCAACTTCAGTTAGACAACCATCACCTTCAGTTAGACAACCATCACCTTCAGTTAGACAACAATCACCTTCTGTTGGACTACCATCACCTTCTGTTAGACAACCATCACCTTCAGTTAGACAACCATCACCTTCAGTTAGACAACTATCACATTCATTAGACAACATCACCTTCAGTTAGACAACCATCACCTTCAGTTGGACACCTATCACCTTCAGTTAAACAACTATCACCTTCAGTTAGACAACCATCACCTTCAGTTAGACAACCATCAACTTCAGTTAGACAACCCTCACATTCAGTTAGACAACCATCACCTTCAGTTAGACAACCATCACCTTCAGTTAGACAACCATCACATTCTGTTGGACAACCATCACCTTCAGTTAGACAACCATCACCTTCTGTTGGACTACCATCACCTTCAGTTAGACAACCATCACCTTCAGTTGGACACCTATCACCTTCAGTTAGACAACCATCACCTTCAGTTAGACAACCATCACCTTCAGTTGGACACCTATCACCTTCAGTTATACAACTATCACCTTCAGTTAGACAACCATCACCTTCAGTTAGACAACCATCAACTTCAGTTAGACAACCCTCACATTCAGTTAGACAACCATCACCTTCAGTTAGACAACCATCAACTTCAGTTAGACAACCATCACCTTCAGTTAGACAACCATCACCTTCAGTTAGACAACAATTACCTTCTGTTGGACTACCATCACCTTCAGTTAGACAACCATCACCTTCAGTTAGACAACCATCACCTTCAGTTAGACAACTATCACATTCAGTTAGACAACATCACCTTCAGTTAGACAACCATCACCTTCAGTTGGACACCTATCACCTTCAGTTAGACAACCATCACCTTCAGTTAGACAACTATCACCTTCAGTTAGACAACCATCACCTCCAGTTGGACAACTATTACCTTCAGTAGACAACCATCACATTCAGTTAGACAACCATCACCTTCAGTTAGACAACCATCACCTTCAGTTAGACAACCCTCACATTCAGTTAGACAACTATCACTTTCAGTTAGACAACCCTCACCTTCAGTTAGACAACCATCACCTTTAGTTAGACAACCATCACCTTCAGTTAGACAACCATCACCTTCAGTTAGACAACTATCACTTTCAGTTAGACAACCATCACCTCCAGTTAGACAACCCTCACATTCAGTTAGACAACCCTCACATTCAGTTAGACAACCCTCACCTTCAGTTAGACAACTATCACTTTCAGTTAGACAACCATCACATTCAGTTAGACAACCATCACTTTCAGTTAGACAACCATCACTTTCAGTTAGACAACCCTCACCTTCAGTTAGACAACCATCACCTTCTGTTGGACTACCATCACCTTCAGTTAGACAACCATCACCTTCAGTTAGACAACCATCACCTTCAGTTAGACAACTATCACATTCAGTTAGACAACATCACCTTCAGTTAGACAACCATCACCTTCAGTTGGACACCTATCACCTTCAGTTAGACAACCATCACCTTCAGTTAGACAACTATCACCTTCAGTTAGACAACCATCACCTCCAGTTGGACGACTATTACCTTCAGTTAGACAACCATCACATTCAGTTAGACAACCATCACCTTCAGTTAGACAACCATCACCTTCAGTTAGACAACCCTCACATTCAGTTAGACAACCATCACCTTCAGTTAGACAACCCTCACCTTCAGTTAGACAACCATTACCTTTAGTTAGACAACCATCACCTTCAGTTAGACAACCATCACCTTCAGTTAGACAACCCTCACCTTCAGTTAGACAACCCTCACCTTCAGTTAAACAACTATCACTTCAGTTAGACAACCATCACCTTCAGTTAGACAACCCTCACATTCAGTTAGACAACCCTCACATTCAGTTAGACAACCCTCACCTTCAGTTAGACAACCATCACTTTCAGTTAGACAACCATCACATTCAGTTAGACAACCATCACCTTCAGTTAGACAACCCTCACCTTCAGTTAGACAACCATCACCTTCAGTTAGACAACCATCACCTCCAGTTAGACAACCATCACCTTCAGTTAGACAACCATCACCTTCAGTTAGACAACCCTCACCTTCAGTTAGACAACCCTCACATTCAGTTAGACAACCATCACCTTCAGTTAGACAACCATCACCTTCAGTTAGACAACCATCACCTTCAGTTAGACAACCATCACCTTCAGTTAGACAACCATCACCTTCAGTTAGACAACCATCACCTTCAGTTAGACAACCATCACTTTCAGTTAGACAACCATCACCTTCAGTTAGACAACCTCACCTTCAGTTAGACAACCATCACCTTCAGTTAGACAACCATCACCTTCAGTTAGACAACCCTCACCTTCAGTTAGACAACCATCACCTTCAGTTAGACAACCATCACCTTCAGTTAGACAACCATCACCTTCAGTTAGACAAACCATCACCTTCAGTTAGACAACCATCACCTTCAGTTAGACAACCATCACTTCAGTTAGACAACCATCACCTTCAGTTAGACAACCATCACCTTCAGTTAGACAACCATCACCTTCAGTTAGACAACAATCACCTTCAGTTAGACAACCATCACCTTCAGTTAGACAACCATCACCTTCAGTTAGACAACCATCACCTTCAGTTAGACAACCATCACCTTCAGTTAGACAACCATCACCTTCAGTTAGACAACCATCACCTTCAGTTAGACAACCATCACCTTCAGTTAGACAACCATCACCTTCAGTTAGACAACCATCACCTTCAGTTAGACAACCATCACCTTCAGTTAGACAACCATCACCTTCAGTTAGACAACCATCACCTTCAGTTAGACAACCATCACCTTCAGTTAGACAACCATCACCTTCAGTTAGACAACCATCACCTTCAGTTAGACAACCCTCACATTCAGTTAGACAACCATCACCTTCAGTTAGACAACCATCACCTTCAGTTAGACAACCATCACCTTCAGTTAGACAACCATCACCTTCAGTTAGACACCATCACCTTCAGTTAGACAACCATCACCTTCAGTTAGACAACCATCACCTTCAGTTAGACAACCATCACCTTCAGTTAGACAACCATCACCTTCAGTTAGACAACCATCACCTTCAGTTAGACAACCATCACCTTCAGTTAGACAACAATCGCATTCAATTAGAAAACCATCACCTTCAGTTAGACAACCATCACCTTCAGTTAGACAACCATCACCTTCAGTTAGACAACCATCACATTCAGTTAGACAACCCTCACCTTCAGTTAGACAACTATCACTTTCAGTTAGACAACCATCACATTCAGTTAGACAACCATCACTTTCAGTTAGACAACCATCACTTTCAGTTAGACAACCCTCACCTTCAGTTAGACAACCATCACCTTCTGTTGGACTACCATCACCTTCAGTTAGACAACCATCACCTTCAGTTAGACAACCATCACCTTCAGTTAGACAACTATCACATTCAGTTAGACAACATCACCTTCAGTTAGACAACCATCACCTTCAGTTGGACACCTATCACCTTCAGTTAGACAACCATCACCTTCAGTTAGACAACTATCACCTTCAGTTAGACAACCATCACCCTCCAGTTGGACAACTATTACCTTCAGTTAGACAACCATCACATTCAGTTAGACAACCATCACCTTCAGTTAGACAACATACACCTTCAGTTAGACAACCCTCACATTCAGTTAGACAACCATCACCTTCAGTTAGACAACCCTCACCTTCAGTTAGACAACCATCACCTTTAGTTAGACAACCATCACCTTCAGTTAGACAACCATCACCTTCAGTTAGAAAACCCTCACCTTCAGTTAGACAACCCTCACCTTCAGTTAGACAACTATCACTTTCAGTTAGACAACCATCACCTCCAGTTAGACAACCCTCACATTCAGTTAGACAACCCTCACATTCAGTTAGACAACCCTCACCTTCAGTTAGACAACTATCACTTTCAGTTAGACAACCATCACATTCAGTAGACAACCATCACTTTCAGTTAGACAACCCTCACCTTCAGTTAGACAACCATCACCTTCAGTTAGACAACCATCACCTCCAGTTAGACAACCATCACCTTCAGTTAGACAACCATCACCTTCAGTAAGACAACCCTCACCTTCAGTTAGACAACCCTCACATTCAGTTAGACAACCATCACCTTCAGTTAGACAACCATCACCTTCAGTTAGACAACCATCACCTTCAGTTAGACAACCATCACCTTCAGTTAGACAACCATCACCTTCAGTTAGATAACCATCACCTTCAGTTAGACAACCATCACTTTCAGTTAGACAACCATCACCTTCAGTAAGACAACCTCCACTATCAGTTAGACAACCATCACCTTCAGTTAGACAACCATCACCTTCAGTTAGACAACCCTCACCTTCAGTTAGACAACTATCACCTTCAGTTAGACAACCATCACCTTCAGTTAGACAACCATCACATTCAGTTAGACAACCCTCACCTTCAGTTAGACAACTATCACCTTCAGTTAGACAACCATCACCTTCAGTTAGACAACCATCACATTCAGTTAGACAACCATCACCTTCAGTTAGACAACATCACCTTCAGTTAGACAACCATCACCTTCAGTTAGACAACCATCACCTTCAGTTAGACAACCATCACCTTCAGTTAGACAACCATCACCTTCAGTTAGACAACCATCACCTTCAGTTAGACAACCATCACCTTCAGTTAGACAACCATCACCTTCAATTAGGCAACCATCACCTTCAGTTAGACAACCATCACCTTCAGTTAGACAACCATCACCTTCAGTTAGACAACCATCACCTTCAGTTAGACTACCATCACCTTCAGTTAGACAACCATCACCTTCAGTTAGACAACCATCACCTTCAGTTAGACAACCCTCACATTCAGTTAGACAACCATCACCTTCAGTTAGACAACCATCACCTTCAGTTAGACAACCATCACCTTCTGTTAGACAACCATCACCTTCAGTTAGACAACCATCACCTTCAGTTAGACAACCATCACCTTCAGTTAGACAACCATCACCTTCAGTTAGACAACCATCACCTTCAGTTAGACAACCATCACCTTCAGTTAGACAACCATCACCTTCAGTTAGACAACCATCACCTTCAGTTAGACAACCATCACCTTCAGTTAGACAACAATCGCCTTCAGTTAGAAAACCATCACCTTCAGTTAGACAACCATCACCTTCAGTTAGACAAACATCACCTTCAGTTAGACAACCATCACCTTCAGTTAGACAACCATCAACTTCAGTTAGACAACCCTCACATTCAGTTAGACAACCATCACCTTCAGTTAGACAACCCTCAGCTTCAGTTAGACAACCATCACCTTCAGTTAGACAACCATCACCTTCAATTAGACAACCCTCACATTCAGTTAGACAACCATCACCTTCAGTTAGACAACCATCACCTTCAGTTAGACAACCCTCACCTTCAGTTAGACAACCCTCACATTCAGTTAGACAACCCTCACCTTCAGTTAGACAACCATCACCTTCAGTTAGACAACCATCAACTTCAATTAGACAACCATCACCTTCAGTTAGACAACCATCACCTTCAGTTAGACAACTATCACCTTCAGTTAGACAACCATCACCTTCAGTTAGACAACCATCACATTCAGTTAGACAACCATCACCTTCAGTTAGACAACCATCACCTTCAGTTAGACAACCATCACCTTCAGTTGGACAACCATCACCTTCAGTTAGACAACCCTCACATTCAGTTAGACAATTATCACCTTCAGTTAGACAACCATCACCTTCAGTTAGACAACCATCACCTTCAGTTAGACAACCATCACCTTCAGTTAGACAACCATCACCTTCAGTTGGACAACCATCACCTTCAGTTAGACAACCATCAACTTCAGTTAGACAACCATCACCTTCAGTTAGACAACCATCACCTTCAGTTAGACAACCATCACCTTCAGTTAGACAACCATCACCTTCAACTATACACTCATCACATTCAATTGAGGAAGCATACATATTACATTTTTGCATCATTCAAAATTTTTAACATTATTTCGCGAATTTTATATTTGATTTTCCATGTCCTATCCGTACATTTACACATTTGAGTGATTATGAATCTGCAACATTATCCCGAAAATATTTTCTTCGGTTGGTTGGGAAATTTAATATAGCCGGCTGTCACATTAGCTTCCACATGTGGCAATGTATATATGACAACGATTAAATCGGTGTGTAGTTCTCGCGCTTTTTTCATGGTCATTACTAATAACGAATCTCCGATTAACGATATAAAATCTAAAATCAGATAAAATGCTCCTGCCCCAGTTCATTGTCTAATAACAATATAATAACATTGAAAATATCCCACTCTGTGTTCATGAAGCAGCTCAATCCTTTTCCGAAACGTCTGGTCTTAGTATTTTTCATCTTCCAACAAGGAAATGCTGTCTACAGCTGTCTAGTGCAACGACAAGGTGACTCCAAATATTACCAGTTAATGATAATGGAAAGAGTCTGTTGATCCACCATTTGCAGGTGATCACTGGTGAACATATTATGGTGTACAGTTGATAGGTTGTTTGAGTCCGTCCTTATTAGCAAGGATCCTGTCTGTCCTGTCTGTCCTCATTAGCAGGGATAATAAAGCAATTATGCAAGAGAGATTTCAATCAACAATACCCTTCCTCCCAATTACGTCGTCGTATTGATTGTTCAACATTTATAAAGCTGCGAGAAGAAATAATTAACGTTCAATATAGTTTCTCAAAATAGAGTTCTAGTGGCTGCGTCCTAAATGGATCCCGTCACATGACGATGTTAAGATATTTAATTCTGGATTGTATTTCCAATTTTAGGTCCAGGGAGACATTAAACATCACAATATGCTAAATAAACAATTAGACACTCATAATCCGCCGTATAAGTTCTTTGAAATTTGCCGCAATATTACGAAACTTACCCTATAATTGCCTTCTCCGACGGACCATACAGGATTACATAATTTCATAAAAACTCTGTTCCTTGATTGACTGTACCCCCGTAAATTGTATAAAACAACCATCATTTCAGTAAGACACCATCACCTTTAAAAAGACAACTATATTTCTTTGTAAAACCCCGATATCATTTAAAGAAGCAGCAATGTCATTTGTCGACTTTCCACTCCCAACTGTAATACTTTGTACTAATCTCAGTTAAATGTTAATTAGTTAATTAGTAATTAGCATGTTCAGTTAATAATAATACTTATACTCGTCTTCCAGTCGATCTTCTCTCTTACATAAAAGCAGAATTGTCTTGCCGCCCGCGACTAAGCAGCTATTAGACTAATTTGGGTTAATTACCAACAATAAATAAGAACAATTAATAATAACAATTAACACCATTAAATCAAGTGACGCTTCATGCTACGCTTCATCCTGTCTGATGGTCTTGATCTTGGATTGACACCCTTGATGCTTTTATCGATTTTCAAATATAACCTTGTGTTTTATTATGGACCCCTTTCGGAGTTGGAGCACGTCGGAGTTGGCTAGGACCTGTTCTCGGTGGTTAAATCCTTGGAGAGAGTTATTCCCGTATGGTACCTTAACCCCTCACTACTAGTCGCTTGGCTGAGGTGGAGTCTAACAAGTGACTAAGTGAGCGGGCGGGCCGCAGCACGCTTGTTGTCGGAATCTGCAGTAACAACTATCTGTTTGGTCTACAGAGAAACCTTGAGGTAGATACATGAGCAAACAAACAACTATGATGACGAAGTATCTCGCTGTCCTGTCCGTCAAATAATTTATTGACAACTAACACCTTTACTCGTTTTCCATTCTTAAAATTAAATTGTACACCATACCGGCAGCTGTATTTTAAAGTTCTTGATTTGGTGGTTTGGGCGTAAGATATGAATGTTTCATCAACAGCCAATCTAGATTTCAGGCGACTAGAATTATTTGAACAATAAACATCAATAGTTAAGGGGGGGGGGGGGGGGGGGGGGGGGGGGGGGGGGGGGGGGGGGGGGGGTGGGGGGGGGGTTCACCCTGATTTTTTGTGAAACTTGGTTTCGAGATAGCAGTTGACCAACAAACTAGGACCGGTGACTGAACTTTTTAGGGGGTCCCAGACCCTTACCGCCCAACGGTGCCCGCGGGGCAGCCACGCTGGTCCAAATTAGGCCCGATTTAGCCAAATACCCTGAACATGCCCAAAACCCAGATTTTAGGTGCTCTACTTGTAGCTAGTGATCCCCTGAACTAGTATATGAAATTTCATCAAGATTGGACAAAAAACGACTGAGTTATGAGCCTAAAAACCATATACCCATATTTGGGCATACGCACCTAATTTGATCGATTTTGGCCCATAAATTGATCAAATATCAATATTTTTGAATGAAACCAACTTTATATGATTATGAAAGGTAAGCCTAAACTACACATCTTCTATGATTGTCAGCTCAATATCTACCTAATTGTGGATTCTGTGTTAAAATAATCGCAAAAACAAAAAAAAGAACAAAATCGCCCATATCTCAGTTCGCAATATTTGCGAAACAGACTTCGCTCAAAACAATAGAACTCAATAGGGTTTCAATATTTTTTCATGAAATTTTCAGAATCAACGTAGAATTGCTTCATGATCTTAAGTTTTGGGACAAAATTTTGAGTTAGGCCTTCAAAAAAATTTGGCGGCCAAATTCTGAACTTTGCCCCCCCCCCCCCTTAAAGTAAAGCAAATACGTTTTAAAGTAAAGCAAATACGTAAAGTAAAGCAAATACGTTTTTCAGTAAGATGATCATCACCTTCGATTAACAAATAGTCTCTAGTCAGTAAAACGAACGTGACCATTGACCAGTCACTTTTAACAAAATGGTTACTAGACGGCACCAGCGACTCCGCCAAACACAATTAAGTCTGAGGTCCGCGGGAAAATAAAAGGCTGAGCTACACATGAGCTCACTAACAAAGTTGAAATGACCGATTGTCTTGCAGGCTAAGAATAAAATAACTCTCACAAGACGAGCTTAGCTCCCAGCACTATATCGGTAGGAAATCATAAAATTGTATATGAAAATGTTACGGACAATAAAATCAACAAATGAGAGAGGTCGACTAGAGTCTAGACGTCTAGACGTCTGTAGGTATTTATGGAGACAAATTAGCAGGGAAGAAATTAAGAAATCTGTCGGTAAAGTTGACATTACGTCGGAAGATGGAGGCCATGTTGACTGAACTAAAATAGGGATGAAACAATCGGGGATGATTGCAGAAATAAAACTAAAAGCAAGATGGGCGGACGGTCACTTACCTTACTTACCTGTCATGAAACAAAGATGCACTCATGCAATGCCGGCTATTAAGTATTAACAACGAGCAGATCACATTGTTCAAGTGTTGCAGTTACTTAACATTGCCAATTCTCCCAAGATATCGAGAGTGTCCTGGTAATCGATTAACGTTGAATTATACTATGTTTAAGAAAATCACGACAGTGCGTCGTGAGGTAAGTGCCAGGAGGACACTGGTATTTTAGAGAGCGTGATTTGGTTTCAACTTCGGCCAACGTCTTAATTATGTGAATAATTATTTTAACAATCTTGGAAAAATTTTCGACCGTTCTAAATTAGGGTTTTATTCTTGAAAATGCTTGGTTTTTAAGTCTTGCCCGACTTACCTGAACATTTTTAAACCTATACTGGATTTCCCTACTGAACACTACAAAAATAAAATTGAAAATAATTGTGGAAGCTAGAGGAAGGTAGATCTTGTTTGATGGAATTTAAGTAAGTGCAGTAACGACTGCTTATAACTTAATAGCACAATAACCATCATAATTGGCACAGGCATACCATTTGACGCCAAAAGACAAAGATATGTATTATATTTAACTGAGCAAACGTCATACATCAATGATAAACATTTGATCAATGATGTGTATGACGTTTGCTCACTTTATTTTTAGTCGTGGTCGATCACAAGTCACAACTGGGCAGTTAAGCAGTTACTGAGGAATCTGCTAAACTTCGGTTTTATAAATTGCAGGTTAAATTTGTTGTTATCTCCAGGGTATTCCTTCCTCATTTATTCATTCGTAAACCACCTTTAATACAAAGGTAAAGAACAGAGGTAAATTGGTCATCAGAATCTAAAATGTCAGATACAATAATGTAACAATTCGACAACAATCCTCAATCCCACACACTGATCACTCCCTTTCACTCCTCTGTGATATCCAGACGAAGTTTCACAGCCGCCTCTTCCTCAAACACTCCCTTCACCTCCTGCCTGCAATCCCGCCACTTCTGCTTCCAGACCTGGATGTAGGGCACCTCTATCCTGATTGGGGACTGGTTCATTAACCAGCCAATGTTTACGAATATCATAGTATCCTTATTACATAATTATAATTATAAAACATATAATTATGTTTTGATTTAAAACATAAATAAACCAAATATTAACTGCACGCAATTGAAATATAATTCAAATGAAAAGTAACAACCTGGTCTTATAAAGAAGAGCTCGGCACGTGACCACTTTCCCAGCTGGTGCTACACAGTTGTAGGTTGCTGCCATCTTGTTCTCAACTGAATTCTCTTCTCCCCAGGCGTAATCATACCCAGCCGACACGTCCATGTAGATCTGACCATCAGAAACGAACGGCACCCCAGCTGAGAACTGTGTCCCCATGGTTATGGAGACATAAGCTGAGTGAGAGAAGTAGGAAGTTTCCGTTACTGTCTCTTCCACCATGAAGCTAGTAGATTGCTCCCCACTGCCCTGCTTGTTGTCTATGTGCTGTTCTCCTACTTTCTCAGGAGTGTACTCTATAAGTTTACCTGCCTCGAGATCGTACTCTACCTGGGTGGTAAACATTTGGTATCATTGTATAAATCTAGCCTTGCTGATTTCAGAACACACGGCCGCAACTTTTGGAAAATGTAGATTGTTGAGATATCGTGTTTTTAAAGCAGCCATGTAACTAAATTAGTTACATAAAATAGAGTACCTTCTCCAGTGCCCACTTGCTGTTCCTGACTGGCAGATACTCATCACACTCCGACAGACATGACCTCAGCTCTGAGCTTCCTTCCTCCGGGTTAGAGGACATCCAGGTGTCCCTTCGGTTGATAAACTTGGTATCCTCCGCGTCCACGTCTTGTCTTACTGTTACAAATTCAAATTTAAATTTGTCATCGCCCGAGATGGTTAGCTTGATGCATTTAAGATACCAGATACGCGGCAAATTTCTTACAATGAACCAGTCAGTTCCGCCACTCTTGAAATTATTGTAGTAGTTGTCGAGAGGTTCCGGTGCTGCAACTTCTTTCCCGTCCCGCCCGATGAAAGTGATGTAGATGTCACTTCCTGTTCCACAGAACCAGCAGCCAGACGTTTTAACGGCCACGTGATAGTTTACAAGTACTGCAGAGGCAAGGGGTTGTAAAACGAGGATTAGGAGAGGAAACATCGTTAGGATTCTGTTATCAGTGTTTTCTATTCACAGTGTAACAGGTTGAATATCTTTTCGGAGTGATGAAAATAAATGCTCCCTGGTGCTTTAGAATTCTTTAAATATCCCACATCAAATATAACAATGCAGCCAGGTTATGTATCACTGAAAAGTGTCACCATCCTGTTGGAAACTAAAACTTGTGGATTTTCACAAGTCTTGTAGTTTTTCGCAAGTCTATTATACCTAGGTAAGTATAGTAAAGGATTATAGAACTGAATTACAAGGTGAATATGGGACATCTGTTGTTGAGTGAAGTTTACTGAACGTATATGTTAATCAAATAATGAAGTTTTGTGGAGCTATATGGCACAAAAAAATGGCACATAGTCAAAAGAACTAAAGTCGAAATAGAATTTCTTAACTGTCCACACCTTCAGAATTCGTGGTTGACGTGGGAGGAAGAAGGGAGCTGGCACAGAGTTCAACCCCACACTAATAACAGTGTTTGTGTAGGACCAGGCTCCATGTTCTATTTTTCAGGACAGCGCCTTACACTTAGAGTCTCATAACTTAGGGTCCGGACCACAGAGTCGATGTTTCTGAGTAACTTTTTACCTTCCATTGAACAAAGAAATTATCGAGTACAGCTCATGTCTCAACTCGAGTCAGCTATTTGATGAGGGGGCAAATAGGCACAATGCCAACTGGCTAATTGATGTTGGATTGAAAGTTTTTCTCAGTAAATTTAGCCCGTGCGGCACTTCTACTCGATGTGTTACGTTGATAAAAATTAAGTCTACTTATAAATTGACTACCTTGATTTAAATACTACCTTGATTTAAATATTAATATTTCCACAGAAGGACTAGAAATATCAGTGTATAACAAAACTGATGATTTTAATTTTCATGTTGTATCCCTTACATTTCCTCACAGTAACATCCCAACCGAGGTTGGCTACAACGTTTTTTCAAGTCAAGTTCTTAGATATGGTAATGTTTGCACTAGATTGGATATCTTTACCTCCCATCTTCACAAAATATTCAAAATTCTAATTGATAGAGGATATAGCCGTGATAGACTGATTAAAGGCATTAAACGTTGTCTGAGGAATCAGGAAATATGACAACGTTTTCAGGAAGTTCGGTATTCTAGATGACCGTAACATTATTAAAGAACTCCCCTGATATCTTTTGATTTATTGAAACACAGGTACTAACTCTGCTAAACTGAACAAATTCTGAAACTTAGGCGAATAAGTGTACAACGTGCTAAACCGAAGTTCAGACTGACCAGTGAAAATGGGCGAGCGTACCAAGTGTCATTTTAATTAGAAGTTTTAGTCAGTGATTTATTATTGAAGCTTGTAATTACAATATCTAATGCTCCTATAAATACTTTAATTAATTGTTTGTCCCGTTATTCTTTTTCCTTCCTCTTTTCCTTGTCATCCCCTTTAGTTTTAAGATTCTTGCTATAAATGGCTACAGCTAACACTATTAATGCTAAGTACCAAACAACAAGTGGGAGGTGGATCGTTGGTATACCATTAAATCGATTTAACACCGCAATTCCAGTCGCAAGCCTGGGACCACTACTAGCATAGTCACAACATCTACAAAGCTGCCATATAGCTAGCCTGACTGACAATTTTCTCGACTGACTGACAATGTTTCTTCTTTTTGCCCATTTAGAATACAAAGATTAGTACATTTTAGCTTATGATTAATATTATATTTTTACCTATAGTTTACCTAGACTAGATTGCACAGTTGTTATTTATTTCTTAACTTTCCCCTTTCGAACTTTGTGACGTTCATATTTACCCACCTTGATAAGTAAAAAGTATTTATACCCACTACCCAAGATTTATTACTTCCAACTTACTTCACCTCCACATTCTTATGTCAATTCCAAAAAACTCCCTTGTTTACAGTGCTTTAATTTGTTAACCAGTTCATGCGAACTGTTTTTATCATTCTTTCAGAAGACATTTCCTGTTTTAGTTTTTTTCTTTCAGAAAGAAATAAACAGGAGTAGAGAGGCCAACTTGCGTATCTATTTCTCAAATCTAAGGTTTTTGATAGTACCCTAGATTTGACTCTTTTGTTTACTTTTCTTCAAAGAAAGGTTTCCAACATACTCGATCTGAATTTTGAATTTTCTACACTGATGGTTTTGGTAGACACGTCCGTCCTACAATTCATTCTTTCAGTTTCATTTATATGTGAGCAAATAATCAGCACAGAAATGACTTCCTTGATGTAAGCCTTTGAGTTTGTATACGATTTATATTATATAGTATAATTAGTGGTCCACAATAACGTTCACGGCAAATTCACGAAAGTAAAAAGTGAACAATTTAAAAGCGCAAACACTAATCTGGGTTAAATTTGATTAACGTAAATTTGATTAACGTACAGATACGTTTGAACAACTTTATGCAATGGTGAATGAGATTCTGACTTTGATAATTGATTGGGCTACTAATAACGGGCTTAAATTAAATGCTAGCAAAACTAAATACATGATCTTTACAAATAAGAAAACTGAGGATATAGAAATTTACATGGGAGGTGAACGATTAAAGCAAAGTTATCACGAAGTTTCTTGGTGTGATCATTGATACCAAGCTAAATTGGGCCCACCACATTAGACGTTTAGCCACTAAAGTGTCTAGAAATGCGGGCATTCTCTACAAACCCAAAGGCTCAGTAGTCAGTACCTAACAAAGCACTTAAGTTGATATACAACAGCTTTGTTCAGTCTCACTTGTACTACTGCTGCACAGTTTGGGGAACAAGATCACTAAACTCCGTAAAAAGAATCTTCTCGGCCCAGAAAAAGGGCATTCGCGCTGCAGACAACCAATACCACCGCTATTTTTATGACAAAGACCTGAACAGTACACCTTCACACACAGAGGAAATTTTCAATAAACTAGAAGTATTAGCGTTACCGAACGTGATAGCTAAATGTATATTTATTAATTATGATTGAGCTTAATGCACAAAGTATATTCTAACACTGCACCACCAAATATTATAAGAATGTTCACTGTTTCAAACTTAAACGCACCTAGAAGAGAACTGAGCTTCAGTTCTTTGCAGAACCAATACCATTTAACCGTTTATGTAATTCAGACAAGAGCATTTCTTACATTGGGCCTAAGTTATATAACAAAACGGTCATCATTATTAACAAGGACAAAAATACGTCATGACTTGCCTACAAGACAAATTCGTAAATTCATTCAAGTCTACAGTCAGCAAGCATGTGCTTACTGCACAAGCACTTAATATATTACCGGATGTATATAACCCGGATGACAAGGACTGGAACAACTAAAATTTCGTACTTTTAGAAACTTAAATAATTTGGTACAACATACGTTGATAATGACAAGCAACAAAACTTTTACCTCAGAACGAAATATGACTATCTTTGAGCATTTTTACAATGCTATCGCTACAGCGCAATTTCACTGTCATTTACAAGATAAAAATATCACCGCGCATTCATGCGAATGGTATGGAGATGTTTGTTTAAGCCACAATGTCCCGTGATGAGGTGCACTGCAGTTCTGTAATTTTGTCTGCTGTTGCTGAGTGAACGTACTTACGTAATATGTGAACGACCCCTTAGTTGATTGGTTATCTAATTGATCGTATAATGTGAATAACAAAAGGAAACACATAAATTTATTGTTTTTAATGCATTCGATTCTGCGGATTTTCCATCAAGTTTCCCGAAAAATAATTCAGACTATTTGCTAAAAATCATGCTGAAAAATAAAGGTTCATGAAATTCACAATTTTTGCCCGAGAAACAATGGATATTCAACGCTTTAATGTCAAGGAACTATTATTGTCCGTTGCTTTAAGATAAAAAGTTCCAAAACATTATTCCCCTCTAGCTGTACTGTTCGTCTCGGTCGATCTAGTGGTGCTCTCTAAGATGCTGGATGAGAGGTTCGTCTATTTTGTGGCCGCGAAATTCTTCAAGAACTTCGAATTGGTCCTCCATCTTTTTCAGAATCTCATCGTCCACAACCTGGGATAGGAAAGGTTACAATTTACGAATTTAGGTATCCCCCCCCCCCCCCCTAAAGCCTTAAGTACTTCACCAATAATTTGTAACGCATTTTTATGTTTATCATCGTCGCAAGTGTCAAGAAGATAATTAGTAAGTTAGAATACTGGCAGCTAAAAATTGACCGCTCTCGAATTATCGGTTCTTTTGCGATAGTCAAAACGCGACAACTAGCGCTGGATGGCGACAACTAGCGCTATCCAGCGCTAGTTGTCGCCATCCAGCGCTAGTTGTCGCTATCCAGCGCTGGATAACGCTGGCCAGCGCAAGATATATATGTTCGATAATTGTCGCTATCCAGTGCTAGTTGTCGCCATCCAGCGCTAGCTGTCGCCATCCAGCGCTAGTTGTCGCTATCCAGCGCTAGTTGTCGCTGGCTATGCGACACTGTCGCACGCGATAGTTTGCGATGGCCAGCGCAACTGGCCATCGCAGAAAACAGTTCGATAACTAGCGCTGGATAGCGACAACTTGCGCTGGATGGCGACAACTAGGGCTGGATGGCGACAACTAGCGCTGGATAGTGACAATAATCGAACATATATATTTTGCGCTGGCCAGCGTTATGTCGCCATCCAGCGCTAGTTGTCGCGTTTTGACTATCGCAAAAGAACCGAATTATCAATTTCATTTCATGATCAGTTATCTTTGAGCTTTTGAGTCTGGCACGTCGACAATATTACCATTTCTAACCTTATTGTAAAAGTCTGCGAAGTAGAGCACTTTCCAGTGATCTCCAGGGCATGTAATCGGCACCTCAGTGATCGTTCCGTGCCTCTCAGTAGCGTAGAGGATGGTCTCCCACCGCAAGAAAGCCTCTCCCACAAGAGAATCCTCGAAGTCTGAGCACATTCCCGATGAAAACATTTTGCTTACTTCCCCAGCTTCCAGTTGCCTTTTGTAGACGTTTAGCTTTAGGAGTTCACCTCCAAATGGATAGTTGTTGAATGTAGCCTCCATTGTTGCTGTCTTGTGGTACTGTCCTATAGCTATTGTTCCTCCCATGGTCAGTTTTACGTCACCAGATGCTTCCTGTGCTATTGCCTTTCCATCAAAATATAATACCCTGGTCTTAGTCTCATAGCCCCATGTAATGCAGACGTGGTGCCATTCATTTGAAGGAACGGCCTGGCTGTTCTCTATATGATTCTGATTCATGATAGCCCAGCCCCTTATCTTGCCTGCAATTAAGATCTCATGCATCTTGGAAGGTGCATTGTACGTGAACCAGGAATCATGAGCACCATCAGCTGTTTTCTTGTTGATCCACGAACAGACCGAAATGGCTTCCTTTACCGGTTCCATGTCCAGTTGCAGCATCATGTAGCTCTGGATATCTTTCCCGAAGCTCAGTGCAGTGATGGGACCATGAGCCGAGGACTGCTCCACGGAGTAGGCCAGGATCAGGAGTGTTAGATAAAACAGAAACATTCGGGCAGAGTCGAGAAACGAGAATGTCGAGAATGAGATGGTCTCCTGGCTATAAGGAGACGTGTCCAGTCTCGTCAACGTCACAGGGCGTCCGCTTACGTGCCTCATTGGATTTGCAAAGTCAGGGCTTCATTTAGAATGAAAACAAAAACTTTTTGACCAACTCTCAATCCCGTCAACATCAAATCTTAACACTTTTATTATATTCTCAAATTCTTTTGTAGTCTTCATCTTCCTTAATATTGTTCATCAAAACGTTTCAGTTTACCTATCGCTCATAATTTACAAATTTTTTTCATGTTAAGCATGATGAAATTAAAATATACGGTAATATTTCAACGCGTTCTAGCTAATTCTTTCGCGCTTACGATCCAAATTACAATAACAATGGCAATGACGTCTATCATGATAGTCATTCCAGAGGAATAATTACTTAAGGTGTTGGCAGTAGTAGTATGTGATAGTTACCTAAACCATTTTCATAAAGTAAACTATAGATTAAAGAAATGTTAATAATTTAATAAGCTTTAGATGATTTACCAGAATTTGTATGTTCAATTTGCTCTTTATCTGTATCACTAAACACTCAAAAGTTTATTACTAATCTAACATGCTAGGGTGTATAAATTGGGTGAATTTGGGTTCATTAAACAACCACTTTATTAATTTTCATGGATCAAAAAACTTATACACATTCATTCAAACATGAATGACAATATTATTGTAACATGTAACGATAAATACAAGAATAGCAATACAAATCATCAGATCGATTATACCTACTAACCCGCTCACCACCTCTACACTATCATAAATGTCTAACTAAAGTGTTCCACCACCAGATCTCTCATTATCTGGATTACCATGATCATTACAGACTGATGTTACTCTATTTACGAGCATTTACAGAAAATATCCTAAAAGTGTCTCTATTCAACCACGGTGTTACTGTTCTTATACACACCAATCTAACACTCCAGTCCAATTACTAAAACATACATAGTTTAACAACTACAACCTTGGTAGTGAGTCCCACTGTTCAATCAACAACTCAAAAGTCACCAACCATGTCACTCTGTAGCTGCACTCAACTTAGACGTAGCTCTGTTGACATTTGTCCATCGTACTCAAGATGCGTTGCAGTTGTCAGCTATCCACCATTCCACATCATACCACCAAACATTTCATCATATCATGAAGAGCAGGAGACTATTTCTTGTTAGTGAACATTGGTTTCGGTTAGATAAAATAACGAACACATAATATATCATAAAATATCTTAGAATAATCAATCTTCAATCAAAGTATCAATATCAGCAAATATCAGATATGTAAATTCAATATAGGGGCAGGGGTAATGGGGTATATATCAACAGCCAGGGGGTGGAGATTTTGGAGGTCGACCAAGTGGATCGATCATATAATTGATGTTTTGGGACAAAGTGAGAGTCCCACTCGCAGTTTTACAAACAAATAATACCTAAAATAGTTGTCGACGTTTCGGCCCACGCCTTTGTCATGGATGATACGTTACAATTACGTTACATAGATCAATAAATGTGATAGATTTGTAGTGTGTTGTAATTAGAACTAATTAATTAATTAAAACTAATTATACAGGAACCCGTCTAACCGTAGAGTGTAGACTGTAGAGAGGAATTCAATCACCAGTGTAGGATTTTATCCTGATGAGACTAATGTTCATGAAATAATACAGATCATATAAAATTACTAATTTCATAATCAATTCATGGAATATTTTGTAAATCGGAGTGCGAGATTTTGACTAATTCAATTTGTCAAAATTTCGCCTTCTGATTAGAAGGCGAAATTAAAAATGAACTTCCATGACTAAACCGAAGAGATGCATTACCGTTGGACGCTATTTGTTAGCTGCTACTTTTCACGGAGCAAATACTTTGTGTCACATAATATGTTTCTGCTTCTACTCTACCTGACGATCTCCGTCAACGGTATTAGTTAGACTTAAATAATGGAGGAGAAAGGTGAACTAAGACGATGTGTGAGTAATCGCTATGTCACACCAGTCTGGTCCAGCTCCTTTGGCACAATTAAGCGTTTGGTGCGGTTTGCGAAGTTGACAATAGTGGAGATGTGTTGGTTGTCGAATATGTCATTGACGGAGAGGTAATAGTCCTGGAAATATTGACCTCTTATTTAGGAAATAGCCGAACACTGTCCTAGAAAGTGTGAGACAGTTTCCTCTCCGTCGCTGCACATGGGACAAGCACTGGTGTTTGATTTGCGAACGGTATGGAGGTGTTTGTTTAAGCCGCAGTGACCCGTGATGAGGTGCACTACAGTTCTGTAATTTTGTCTGTTGTTGCTGAGTGTACGTAATACGTGAACGACCCCTTAGTTGATTGGTTATCTAATTGATCGTATACTGTGAATAACAAAAGGAAACACATAAATTTCTTGTTTTTAATGCATAAGATTCTGCGGATTTTCCACCAAGTTTCCCGAAAAATAATTCAGACTATTTGCTAAAAAATCATGCTGAAAAATAAAGGTTACCGAAATTCACAATTTTTGTCCGAGAAACAATGGATATTCAACGCTTCAATGTCAAGGAACTATTATTGTCCGTTGCTTTAAGATAAGAAGATAAAAAGTTCCAAAACATTATTCCCCTCTAGCTGTACTGTTCGTCTAGTGGTGATCTCTGAGATGCTGGATGAGAGGTTCGTCTATTTTGTGGCCGCGAAATTCTTCAAGAACTTCGAATTGGTCCTCCATCTTCTTCAGAACCTCATCGTCCACAACCTGAGATAGGAAAGGTTACAATTTACGAATTTAGGTCCCCCGCTCCCCCCCCCCCCCCCCCCCCCCCCCCCCCCCCCCCCCCCCCCCCCTTAAAGCCTTAAGTACTTCACCAATAATTTGTAACGCATTTTTATGTTTATCATCGTCGCATTTCATGATCAGTTATCTTTGAGCTTTTTAGTCTGGCACGTCGACAATATTACCATTTCTAACCTTATTGTAGAAGTCTGTGAAGTAGAGCACATTCCAGTGATCTCCAGGGCATGTAATCGGCACCTCAGTGATCGTTCCGTGCCTCTCAGTAGCGTAGAGGATAGTCTCCCACCGCAAGAAAGCCTCTCCCACAAGAGAATCCTCGAAGTCTGAGCACATTCCCGATGAAAACATTTGGCTTACTTCCCCAGCTTCCAGTTGCCTTTTGTAGACGTTCAGCTTTAGGAGTTCACCTCCGAACCAATGTCCGTTGTTGAATGTAGCCTCCATTGTCGCCTTCGTGTGGTACTGTCCTATAGCTATTGATCCTCCCATGGTCAGTTTCACGTCACCAGATGCTTGCTGTGCTATTGCCTTTCCATCAAAATATAATACCCTGGTCTTAGTCTCATAGCCCCATGTTATGCAGATGTGGTGCCATTCATTTGAAGGAACGGCCTGGTTGTTAGCTATATGAGCCTTGTTCATGTAAGACCAGCCCCTTATCCTGCCTGCAATTAAGATCTCATGAATCCTGGAAGGTGCATTGTACGTGAACCAGGCATCATGAGCACCATCAGCTGTTTTCTTGTTGATCCAAGAACAGATCGAAATGGCTTCTTTTACAGGTTCCATGTCCAGTTGCAGCATCATGTAGCTCTGGATATCTTTCCCGAAGCTCAGTGCAGTGATTGGACCATGAGCCGAGGACTGCTCCACGGAGTAGGCCAGGATCAGGAGTGTTAGATAAAACAGAAACATTCGGGCAGAGTCGAGAAACGAGAATGTCGAGAATGAGATGGTCTCCTGGCTATAAGGAGACGTGTCCAGTCTCGTCAGCGTCACAGGGCGTCCGCTTACGTGCCTCATTGGATTTGCAAAGTCAGGGCTTCATTTAGAATGAAAACAAAAACTTTTTGACCAACTCTCAATCCCTTCAACATCAAATCTTAACACTTTTATTATATTCTCAAATTCTTTTGTAGTCTTCATCTTCCTTAATATTGTTCATCAAAACGTTTCAGTTTACCTATCGCTCATAATTTACAAATTTTGTTCATGTTAAGCATGATAAAATTGATATATACGGTAATATTTCAACGCGTTCTAGCTAATTCTTTCGCGCTTACGATCCAAACTACAATAACAATGACAATGACTAGCCGTATCATGATAGTCATTCCAGAGGAATAATTACTTAAGGTGTTGGCAGTAGTAGTATGTAATTATAGTTACCTAAACCATTTTCATAAAGTAAACTATAGATTGAAGAAATGTTAATAATTTAATAAGCTTAAGATAATTTACCAGAGTTTGTATATTAAATATGCTCTTTATCTGTATCACTATAAAACACTCAAAAGTTTATTACAAATCTAACATGCTAGGGTGTTGTTAAATTGGGTGAATTCAGGTTCATTAAACAACCACTTTAATCAATTATCATGGATCGAAAAACTTATACGTACATTCATTCAAACATGAATGACAATATTATTGTAACATGTAACGATAAATACAAGAATAACAATACAAATCATCAGATCGATTATACCTATTAACCCGCTCACCACGTCTACACTATCATAAAATTAAATATCTAACTAAAGTGTTACACCACCAGATCTCTCATTATCTGGATTACCACGATCATTACAGACTGATGTTACTCTATCTACGAGCATTAACAAAAAATATCCTAAAAGTGTCTCTATTTAACCACGGTGTTACTGTTCTTATACACACCAATCTAACACTTCAGTCCAATTACTAAAACATACATAGTTTAACAACTACAACCTTGGTAGTGAGTCCCACTGTTCAATCAACAACTCAAAAGTCACCAACTATGTCAATCTATAGCTGCACTCAACTTAGACGTAGCTCTGTTGACATTTGTCCATCGTAGTCAAGATGCGTTGCAGTTGTCAGCTATCCACCATTCCACATCATACCACTAAACATTTCATCATATCATGAAGAGCAGGAGACTATTTCTTGTTAGTGAACATTGGATTTGGTTAGATAAAATAACGAAGAGAGAGAGAGAGAGAGAGAGAGAGAGAGAGAGAGAGAGAGAGA